TCCTTTCCACTGTTGCCACTGTGCTTGCTCAGGATGGGAGACTGCAATGAAGCCAAGATTCAACTTGTCTGGAGATATATATATATATATATATATACATACATATATATACATACATACATACACACACAATTATATATATTTTATATATAACCACATATTGCCACCATATATATTCACACACATTATAATTTCATTATCTTATCCTCCACTTGGGACAGGACCTCCTCCCTGACCCAGAGAGGGCACTCTATCCTTTTCCAGCTTAAGACCATGGCCTCGGATTTGGAGGAACTGATCCTCATCCTGGCTGTGTCGCACTCGGCTGCGAACCGCTCCAGCGAAAGCTGTAGATCACGATCTGATGAACCCAAAAGGACTACATCATCTGCAAAAAGCAGAGACGCAACCTCAAGGCCACCCAAATGGATCCCCTCAACACCTTGGCTGCGCCTAGAAATTCTGTCCATAAAAGTTATGAACAGGATCGGTGACAAAGGGCAACCTTGGCGGAATCCAACTCTCACCGGGAACGAGCCCGACTTACTGCCAGCAATGCGGACCAGGCTCTTACACTGGTCATACAGGGACCTAACAGCCCGTATCAAAGGGCCTGGTACCCCATAATCCCAGAGTACCCCCCACAGGGTTCCCTCAGGGACGTCGTTGAGCACCTTCTCCAAGGCCACAAAGCACATGTAGACCGGATGGGCAAACTCTCACGTACCCTCCAGGACCCTGCTGAGAGTGTAGAGCTGGTCCAGTGTTCCACGACCAGGATGAAAACTGCATTGCTCCTCCTGAATCCAAGGTTGGACTATCCGACGGACCCTCATCTCCAGAAATGTCTTCAGTTGATCCAAATTGCTGCTGCCAGAGTCTTAACCGGAGTTAGTATGAGAGATCATATCTCTCCAATTTTAGTTTCTCTCCATTGGCTCCCTGTCAAATCCAGAATAGAATTTGAAATCTTACTTCTAACCTACAAAGCTCTCAACAATCTGGCTCCATCTTATATTACAGATTTGATTTTTCCATATTTTCCTAACAGAGCACTTCGCTCTCAGGCTGCAGTTCTACTTGTGGTTCCTAGAATTTACAAAAACAGAATGGGAGGCAGATCCTTCAGTTATCAGGCTCCTTTCTTGTGGAACCAACTTCCAATCTCTGTCCGTGAGGCTGACACATTATCCATTTTTAAAGTAGGCTTAAGACTTTCCTTTTTGCTAAATCCTATAGTTAGGGTCAGCTTGGGTTTCCTGAACTGTCCCTTAGTTATGCTGCTATAGGCTTAGACTGCTGGAGGACAAACTGACCACACTTTTCACTCTGCTACTGTCTTTACTTACTCTGCTCAACCTGTTTTGTATTTGTAATTATTTTTTCTGTCTTTAACATGTGTTTTTTGTCTTTCAGGTACACCTGGACCTATATCTGGACCTACCATTCCGTTTTTGTCTGTCTCTCCTTCCTGTCCTCTCAAACCAGCCGGTCAAAGCAGATGGCCGCTTGTCCTGAGCCTGGTTCTGCTGGACGTTTCTTCCTTTTAAAAGGGAGTTTTTCCTTTCCACTGTTGCCACTGTGCTTGCTCAGGATGGGAGACTGCAATGAAGCCAAGATTCAACTTGTCTGCTGGCCTCCTTAGATGGAGAACTTTACTAATTGGCTTTTATGTATGTGAATGTTTCGGTAAAGTGCCCTAAGACAACTTTGTTGTGATTTGGTGCTATATAAATAAACTGAATTGAATTGAAAACAAAACAAAAAAATTGTAG